TGTTCCATCAAAAGAGACCCTTCTTTGTTGTCCTACAAGAAACTGGTTCATTAGCAACTGTATATAGTATTAGCATGGTTGGATGGAATCAAGGAGGGACATCTGGATGTGCTATATTCTGAGGTACCCGTATGTTTAGTAAATTTATCATTCAGGCAAATGATTGGTGATTCTTCATTATAAGTAGACCATCACAGAGATGAAGAGGGGTATCTGTCAGGGTACATCGTACTGTACATATAGTTTTGATAGGAGAAACAAATAACAAACAATACCAAAAAACCCGTATAGAGAGAAGAAACATCCAATGTGAAATTGTGTCCTAAACCAGAATTGCTAATTACTTTTGATGACAAATCTTGATTATTATATTTTTCCAACAATGACACAGGGTATCCTGACACATTTCAGGACTCTTATTTCTGTCTGTCTCCAAATTTGTACATGGAATTGGATGACTCGGTTTTCATCATTTGTTTTTCCTTTGTATCAAGGGTATCTAAGAAACTGGCAAGCCATGCTCTCCTCCACACTGCCTCTGAGCAACCTAAGTCTAAAAGAACAAAACCCATCACCTCTGCTGTTAAGGTATCCATGACTTCATTTAGTGGTTCATCTGATATCATCAATAATACCTGCACTTCCTCTGCTTCACTATCACTGGTTTGGGGACAATTACAAGCCCAATGTTTGCGAGATCCACAAAAAAAAAAATATTGTGTAATTCTGCCATCAGCACCAAATAGATTATTTTCCCTCCTTGTCCCGTTCCTCCGTAATTTCCATGTGTCTTGTATCATCTACATTTCCTTTTGTACATTATTTACATTATTCGGACTATAGTCCTCATCTTTGTCGCCATTTTTATTACAACATTTCGGCCGTTGTATGCTCTGGCCTTCTTCAGGTGGTTGGAATGTTGAACTGAACCCTTTATTTCACTCACTGGAGTAGACTGTTCTAGTTCCACGTGCCATGTTTAATGGATGTCAGTTATCAGTTATCTCCTGTTAATTTCCCTCTGAAAGTCCTCCACTGCTTTGACCAGGTATTTAACTCACACACATTGAACTTTGGGTCTTGTCACTGGATCTAACCAACGCCTTTATGCACTGTGCCATATGGACATCTGTGTATGAACTTCTGTGCATTATAAACCTAATGTCTTCAGCAACTATTTTTTTTACTAGTGCACATATTGCAATTTTTTGCTGTTATCATTGCATGTTTTTACCAGAGCTCATATTGCAACTTTTGTTGTTATTATCACTTTTCTCTGGCACTTCTTATTACTGGTTCCCATATTGTATTCATTTCTATGCTTGGTCGGCTCAGGAGATTTTTGTGGCCTAGCATATGTGCTGACTTTGTAAGTTTATAAATTTTCCAATGGTGTTCCTTGTCTATGATCTCAACATGATCCCGCAGAACACTATTAGGAAATTCATAAACTTAAGGAAATAAAGGGTTCAGTTCGACATTCCAACTACCTAAAGAAGGCCGGAGCATACAACGGCCAAAACATTGTAATAAATATGGCGACAAAGAGGAGGACAATCGTCCGAATAATGTAAATAATATACATAATACCTCATCTCAGAAATTTCCTTTTGTTGTAAAATGCTTCAGCTTCCATACTAGGTTCATTTTTCACCAAGGTTTGGGTACATTTCCTTTCAAGAGCATTCAATACTCCACTGTTTTTCGTAATTACTTTTGTTATGTTTGTCACACATTATTAAATGTCATCTCCAGTGTTGTTAATAAGGCCAATTGGAAATTGGTTGCAGTTTTTTAACAACCTACATGTCAGTATAGCAAAAGGAAGTTAAATATTTCCTATTTTTAGTCTATAGACCCTGCTATCAAACTCATTCAAATATTCTTCAATGCTGCCATTAGGTTCTCTTTTTTTAAATCTTCCAATGTCAAATAGGCATTAAAGGATTTCTAATTCTTATCCTGACGAAAAACTATCAAGCATCTCAATCAGCATTTCTGAAATGGCCAACTCTGATGATGCTAGTCTTGCTCTTCCTGTCAAACACAAATGAACTGCAATAGCTCACTTCTCCTATGGTAAATCTGTATACATAGTCCACAGGTCTCATAATCATTCTTTTCCTCTCTGAACTCTGATGGAGTCTTCATGCTGCAAGCAATCTTTTGTTTGTTTTGTTTTACAGCATATCAACCTCAATGGGTTATTTAATGCCAACAAAATATTTATTGCTGGTAATGTTTTTCTTCAAAATTCTATTTCTGGGAATATTTTTCCTTGAAGAAATCTATATCTGGTCATATTTTTCCCCAAAAAGGTATAGCTGTTTGTATTGCTGGTATTTTTTTTAAAGTATTGCTGATAATAATTTTTCCTTCAAAAATTATTGCTGGTAATAATTTTTATTACAAAGTATTTCTGATATTAAAACTTATTTTTGAGCAAGTTTAGGTGTTAACTATTTGCCCATAGTTGGGACCCTAACAGATGCTACCACCCCAGTCAGTGTGGACCTGAGAACATCAGCAATTAAGAGGTGGTTCCACGCTCCTCAAAACCTCTTGATCAGAGGCCTTGCTGTTGGATGTAGTTTATCATCTTACCCAGGACACAGACATAGTTTATCATCATACCCAGGATGAGCAAGCAATCTTGTTTGCTCTGCTAGCAATTGTTAATTTCCTTTAGTATAGGCATCTCTATCCAGGTTGTCAGCAGTGAGGTCTTCTAAACACTGAGCTTACATAGCCAGCTCTTGCCACTAGCTCACCTCAAGGTGGATCCTGATTGGCTAATATTGTTGCTATGTAGATTATCTACTGGCACCACCATTCTCAATCATTCTCTTCAACTATTCAACTGGTCAAGGGGAGATAACTCAATTATTTCAACTTAAAGGAATCTAAAGACCAATGCAGCAAAAGAAGGCTAAATGTGAAGCAAACTGAGTTTGGAAGTTCTCTTGAAGTAGAGTTAACCCTTTGGAAATTAGGGTTTGAGGTCTTACAAATAATAACAAACTATACAATCTTTGAAGCAGGACTGTTGATATGAACATGAAGAATGTGTGTGTGTGTGTGTGTGTGTGCATAAATTTAAAGGCAGCAGACAGGTGTCTCTATCTGACAAAAATAAATTGCTAATAAACAAAGATAAAAAATTCAAAAATTATTGTTCCAATCTTTAAGATCTGCAAATTTAATCTACTCAAATTATATATATATATATATATATATATATATATATATTCAAATTAATTCAGGTATATATCAAGACTGTGGATGTGTTTTTATAAAGTTAGATATAAATAAAAATATATCTGTAAAAAAAAAACTATATCTTGATAAAGGTCATCAGAGGATGAAATGTATCAGTAAAGAATAGTTTTTATTTTTATATATATATATATATATATATATATATATATACACTACATAGATACAGAGAGAGAGAGAGAGAGCGATTGCCAGGCTTCACACCTCAATCCAATCTTCAACCAAGTCTGAATATAGCACTGTGGCATGAAAGTGTCAGTTATCATGCAGTGTTGATTCCCATGTCCACACTGGCTGTATCTATAAACACCCCAGCACCACTAATAAGCACTCTTCCTCTATGAATATAGCAAATTTTAAACACACACACACACACACAGTGGTCCAAGCGAGATCTAAAAAAGAGCTTCTTGTGCACATGCAGAATCATGTAATCAAGTACAAAACATCAAGCTGGAAAATAACAAAAAATGAATTAATTGGATAATGATCAGTTATTTCTCAAGAGGTGCAGCAAAAGCTATTGTCGCGGGGGGGGGGATGCTTCTTGAACAAACATTGCCAAGAAGAAAAAAAAAACATTGTCATTGAATACTTCAATGATAGTTTCCAACTGGCTTTTCAGAAACTATCAAAAGATGCGGCCAACAGCCAGACAAAGCAATTTTATAAATTGTGCAGGATTTTTGATCCTCGCATTATTGGTACAATTTCCACTGACACTGGTTCTTACTCAGCTCTCACTGGACTTGAAACCCCCACCCACGAATTATGGGATGAATGGGATGTTGACATTGCAGCAGCAAAAGCTGCCAAAAAAGACAAGGACTTACTGGATGACCTGGATTTGTACATGTACTGGCAATCCATGATTCATCGTACCCCCAATTTGGGTAAAATAGCTATGGATTTTATATGGACAAGGAGCATATCCGTAGACTGTGAGCACTTATTCTTGAAGTACAATAACCTCCTGACTGACAGGCGGGAAATGTTGACACAAGCAGATCCTCATGTTGAAATTTAATGGCAACTTAGAAGACCACATGACTTTTTAGGATAGGTGAATAGGCTATATATTTGTATATTTTATTGTTTACACACCACAAGTCTTTGTTTTTCATGTGATTTTATGATTTTGAAACAAAAACAGAAAATTGAAATTTACTGTCACAGAAGAACATGGAATCTGACATTTTAGAACACAGAGAAACTGCCAATCTAATATTGGCGTTTGTTGTTCATTATTGATGATTGTTTTTCTATCCATGTATTTGAACCTGTTAGAGAATCCTTCCATTACGGAGTGGTAAACCTTGGTCATCTCCTTTGGCAACCAGTTGTGCTTTATTTTATCTTTTCTTTTTAAATTTTATGTTGTGGTTGAGCCTACTAATGTCAAGTTCTTACTAAAAATCCCTTAAAAAAGACATGAAAGTGATTATCCCTATACACTATACCATTGCCAAAATGACTTAACCATAATTATTCTCTGTTGCATAACAGTACATCTGAATATTTATTGTAGCCAAAGAACAAATATTCTAAATTCAATCACTTTCTCTTTAACAAAAGAAAATAAAAAAATTTATGGTCATTTTTTTTTTTTTTAAACTTTTTCAAAGTATTCATGAAACTTGGACAAAGACAGTCCAGCCATACAAAAAATGAAGAGTAAAAACAAAACAAAACACCTGGCTGTCCAAGTGATAAACTAAACTTACCTTCTTTGGTCGCTCCAGGAGAGTAATCTCGTCCACACTGACCCTTGTTATTTATTCCAAAAGTATATACAAGGCCTTTGTTGGTCAGTGTCACAGCATGAGCTTTGCCCAGGGAAATTTGACTAATTATCACATCTTTCAAATCGGTCACATGACCTAAAACACAATAATAAAGAATTATTTCATTCTTAATGGAACAAATTGTACAATAATGAACAATTTTCTACAAATTTTGAAACATAAAAGAAAACAAAATTCAGTGAAATCATATTTATAAGAGGCAATAAAGATATTAAAAAGAAGGATGAGAAGAATAAAGATGAAGGAAAATAACAAGTGACACAACAGGACTTGGGCAGATTTTAGAACATGCAAAATGGGCCCTAAGTAATTTTACTTGGGCCAGGTTTTATGACTGTGTAGACAGAAAACTCCAGAAATTAGGGCTTCAAAACCACCACCCACTGACCAAAAATGCAAACAGAGAAAATAAAAACTTTTGGGATAAAGTGCCACTTGACCAGAAGTTAGGAAGTTCTGTTTGCAGGATTATTTAAACAGTGTTATAGTTAGAAATTAGGGTAGTTTCGAGTTACACTTTAATATGGGTAGAGGAATGGTAGGAGAGAGTCTAAGATACAGAAGGAAACTAAAAATAAATAAAAGGAGGTATTATTACAATGATAGAGATTACAAAGTAGACATTTAAAAAAGAAACTGAATCCCTATTAATAATTGCCCAGAACAATTTAATAAAAATCAACTATGTCAAGACCAAAATAAACAAAACAGTAAGGTTGCAAATGATACAGAGGTAGAAACTGTTAATCCTTATAATAAATGAATACAAGTTGTCTCATGAGGCAATACAAATATATATGTGAATGAGTAGGAAAGACAAACCTCTGGGAATGGTTCAAATGACTGGGATTTAACCATGCAAGCAAATACATACAAAAGCAGAAGCTGTTCTAAATACAAAAAAAATATATGATAATCTGTAGTTAAAACAGATCACCTAGTCTAAGTCATAAAAAGAATTTTATCAAATAGCAGTTGTCACTGTTCCCGAATAGTGTAAAAGTGAAAGTAAAATAAATGAAAAATTGGGAAGATATTTTAACTGTTTGAGAGAGATGAAAGTTACAACTGTACCCATCATTGGTATACTTGGAACAATCTCAAAGAATATTGCAAAGAGGTTAGAGGTATTGGAAATGCAAAGAAGAATAGAAACCTTCCAGAATTATTAAAATCAACAGAAAAACTGAGGAGAGTGATTACTTGCTGTTAATTAATTTTCAGTGAAAACCACTCAGTGCTATTAATGTGAAAACTCAATGAAATGTGTAATAATAATAATACGTTTACTGCTGACATGAAGTGAAAAGATTATATTGAATCCATTGCTAGGTCAGCTGCTAAGAAAGTTGGTTCAGTGTGCTGTGCTAAACAATTTTTCTCTTCAGAGTCTATCTTACACATCTATAAATCTACCCTTCATCCATGCTTAGAATATTGCAGCCACATATTGTCCAATATATTTGGAGATTCTTGATAAAATCCAAAGAAGAATCTGCAATATTATTGAACCTGACCTGGCATTCAGTCACTTTCGCATCACTATAAATCAATTTTCTATAAATACTTTCATGGTAATTGTTCAGTTAAGCTCTTCACTATGGTACCTAAAGTTTATGAATTTAACCACAGTACTAGATTGGCAGCTAGGTCTCATCAATTTACAATTGAATTGGTTAGATGTAACTATGTGTTCTATGCTAAGAGTTTCTTTACTCCCTTCTTACTTATGGAACTCTTCTGGCTCCATGATTTCCAGCCAACCCTGATCTTCAAAAATTTAAACGCAATATCAATTGTTATTTAATATCTTCTTGATTACTCTTCTATTGTTCTCACTCCTAAATAATGTTTCTCTTTTTTTCTTATTCTTTCATACTTAGTAACTCCTTGTGTCTTAGTGGCTTTACTGCCTTGCATGGGGTGAAATGATTAAAAAAAATAATAATTTAAATATAACTAAAGCAATAAGAAATTCTTTACAAGTAAAACAACACACAGAGAATATAAAAAATATCTTAATTTTTACATCAAGAACTTTGACCTATCAAGTAAAACTCGTTATCACTGTTCAGATTGGTTAACTCTACAAATAATTTGTCTCAACAGAAAAGTGTATTTAAAAAAAAAAAACATCATGAACTGGATTCAAGGATTCAATGATGAAGAGCTTAATAAAATTAATAAATTTTACTTAAACCAAAACATTCAAGAAACTCGACTAACCTCCATGTATAACTTCTAATTTAGCAAGAATAATTATTAACATCCATTTTTATTTTACTTTGACATAATCATATTTAGTGTGCTATGTCCTTTCAGGACATGGATAATCAACAACCTCCTGTCTTTCATTGTTCTAAGTAATTCTTAGATAATTTACCATCCCTCTTTATCCTTGTTCTGTCATCCAGTCACATAAATACAGTAAGTAGGCTTCTCAATTTCTCCCTTCTGCCTATCTTGCTTTCAATATATCCCATAAGGAATTAAATTCTTCAAACCTTTTTTCCTCATGTGTCCCAGAAATTTCATTTTTCTCTTTGTGATTTTAAGTACCCTTTTGATTCCTGTTTTCCTTAAACCTTCTTCATTGCTCATGTTCTATTTGTGACACACAGCATTCTCTTGTAGAACCATCTCTCTTGCTTCAATTCACTTCCTCATCTCTGAGAAAATTCTCTGGCATTCACTGCCATATAGGAGATTAGGTATTACATAGCTGTTCAAAATTCTTTTCTTTATTTCTAACATTTTCCCCATGTCTTAATACTATGCTTAGTTTCTGGAAGACATCTTTCTCCATTCTGCCTCTCTTGCTTTCAATAGGTCTTATAAGGATTAAATTCTCCAAGCTCTCTTTCCTTATTATATGTTCCAGAAATTTAATTTCTTTCTAATTTTAAATACATGCTCTTTTTGATCCTTGTTTTTCCTCATTTTCCTGCCATATAGAAGATTGGCTATTACATAGTTGTTCAGCATTCTTTTCTTTATTTCTAACATTTTCCTATATCTTAATACTGTGCTTTTTTTCTAGAAGATATATTTCACTATTCATATGTGCATTTGCCACATTTTCTATCATGTGTCACTATAAGAGACATAATTAAATTTCTGGGCCTGTTTGATTTTGACATCCCCAACATGTAGATCCCACACTGAGCTGTCTCTTTTACTGCCAACCATGCATTCTTTCTTCTTACAGTTAATAGTCTTTACTTCTTGCTTTCCCATGCTCTGTTGTCTAAGAGTTCTTTCTATTTCTGAGTGTCATCAACACTGTATCATCTGCATATTTTAAGATTATGTTTGCCAATGATTTAATATGTCATATCAGTTGGGACCTGACAATTGCAAGTACATTGTTTTGATCTTGCAGTAAGTAAACTAAGGTTCAAACAGGAATTAAAATGAAACTAATCAAAGATAAAAAAAAAAAAAAGATGTTGTTCAGAAATTGATATGGCAGCTCAATTACAAAACGAAACTGCAAGTCCAAACTTGAAGATCCAGGGGCAGAAAGAAATGTCAAAATCACAAACTGCAGGTCTAATATAAAAAATTCCAATACATGTAAACAGTCAGAAATCCAAGACACAAAGCAACAGTCATTCACAAGCCAAGGTAGAAAAATAAATGCCTCCCAGTTTGGGAACACCAACTGCTTTTTGACAGAACAATTTTTTCATTGGTGAACAGTTGGAGAGGACAAACAATATTAGCATATTTAAGATGCATTTATGGCAACAGCTGCTACTGGCTTGTTTCTATTTTGTCTTCTGCATATCATACAGAACACATGTACCCTTTTTTCTCTCAGTAAGTGACTTTTTCTTTCACCACAGATGTTTATACAAAATTCAAATTGTTTTTTCTACTCACCACTAGCATGGTCACAGTGTGTTGTATCCTTGCCAAACATAAACACCTCACCCTCTTTTGTTACCATTGCACTGCTGCCATTGTTGCAAGCGACATAGACCACATTTTTGCTCTCTAAACGTATCAACTTTTTTGGTTTCATTGCCTTTGGTTGCCTGCGAACTTTAACTGAAAGAGAATCAGATAATATTAATAAAAAAAGGGGGAATTTCAAAATATCAGAAATACATCTTAAAAATAATAATAGAGAAGAAAATAATATTAATAATGTAAGAAACAAGAGAAAAATAGAATTAAAGAGAAAAAAGGATAATGATGAAGATCCTACTAACACTACTACTACTACCACATAAAATAGCTCTATTCTGTCATTAATAGTAGTTTGAATATCTGATCAGAAAAATTCTACTCAAATCTACAAATTATTGGCAATGCATTTCTAAAGTAAATTTATTAGCAATGTATTTATATTTTGCATGTAATAATTGAATTATTTCATAACCACCAACAATTTTTTCTTCCAGATTTACAATGCATTTTTATAGTAAATTCCTTAGCCGTGCATTTACATTAAGCACATAGTCTTATACTATTAGTAATGATTGCATTAATGATTATTGATAATCCCATTCCTCCTCATTTACAAAGCATTCCTATAGTAAGTAAATTAGCCATGCATTTACATTAAATAGTCTTATACTCTTAGCAATGATTGCATCAATTAATGTGTATGCTCCGACTTACACAGAAAATCGCATTACAATGTATTGTAGGAATGGAATGCTATTAAGGAAGCCCTGTAAAAACAGAAATTAAAATAATTTATTACATACCAATACTACTGTCACCATCTTCTCCACGCCGAGGTGTTCCCACAAAAAATACACTGCCATCATCAGAAACAAGAAGTGCGTGCTGGCTATCATGACCCGTGACTACTTGGACTATCTTAGGAGATTTTGTAATGGGTAACTCGGCCCATTTCCCTGCTGCGGGGCCTCCTTGTTTGATCCCCAATGCTTGTGATTTGCCACAATAAAGGACCTAAAATAGAAAAGTAATATATATCTAAAATGATAAAAGCCATGTCAGCAAAGTGTTTCATGTTCATCAAACATTTACCAACCAAAATGCTTAATTAGAATCTGGTGCACTGATTGTTTTTCTATAGCTTATCAACCCTTTGTAGATTATTTAAAATCAAAATGTGTTTGTGAGTAAATATTGCATTAATATTTTTTCAGAATAACAATGATTTTTCTGGATACAAGTCCTGTTTAACCCATAGCTGGGGGAAAGTGTTTTCATAGCTTTCCCAAGTGTATTTGCACATAAGTGAATGTAATGAAATCCGACTGGAAGATAGTAAACATTTCCCATGGGAATAGCAACAGAGACAGATTTGGACTATCGACACTGGAAAGTGAAGATTGGGCAGCTACTGCCCATATATTGCAGCTGTACTCCATTTTAAGCCTAATCTGACTCTTGTAAAGGTAGAGGATAGCAGGAAGAGTTAGGTACTTACTGGAGTGGTACAAGAAACTGACCATTTTTCCAGCTTCTTCCACTATGTTTTCTTGAATTTTGTAACCTTTCATTGATGATAACACTTTCAATATTTTAATCCATTGGCAATTTTCACTAAGGAAGATTACACAGGTAAATATCATTTGCTTCAGAAATAGGGAGATTATTTGTAATATTCTTTTTCTCTAGAAGAAAATTTTTTTTTTTATTTTCATTACATGTAACATTACATGCAACATTGTGTGTTAATCACACAGTCATCAGTGATAATATTCAATTTCTTAATTATAGAATTAACATTTCCCCCATTTCTAAGGCAAATGCTTATACATATGGTTTTTGTAGTTTTCCCAATGAAAAAATTACCTAGAATTTTTTTTAGTAGTGTGACCAGCCTTATGATGTGCCATATCTCATACTGCTCATAAAAGTTTGCTCATGCCTGGTCTTGATTGTGCACAAAGGATTACATAAGATTACAGATCCAGCCTGTTAACAGGGTATTGTGCAAGCTGACTATAATGGTGCGTTGTGTGCCTTGTTGGTAAGACCCCCTTGTGAAACTGTCTTAACTGTGACAAACACATATCTGACTAGATAATATTTGTATTCCTTGATGATCACCATGTTTCCCCAGTCAGAATGTCATGTACAGGAGACACAAAATTGGTTCCAAGGAACAGTCAGTTAACAACTAGATACACCAGATTTAAACCTCATTGAGTATTTATATGTCGTAAACCTCACTAAATTCCCTGCAGACATACCAAACAAATACAACTCTGGGTCAACCGCAGATAGAAAACACCCATGCAATGACTACAGCACACTGTAGAATCCATACCACTTTGTTTAATCATAGTTATTCAGGTGAATTTTTGATTGATTTGTTCTTTACAGCTTAACAATCTGTTATTCAGGTGAAGATGGGTGCTACACATTATGCAAATGTTGGCATTTCAATTTTGATAGGAAGACAACCATCAAAGACTAAAACTGTACAAAGAAAGACTGTATGGTTTACAGATAGTCATTCTTGGAAACAAATGTACAGATTCTTCTTGCTTCCCAGTTAACTGATCTTCAAAAATTTAAATGCAATGACAATCATCTTCTGTTTTCTTAATTCCTGTTCTTGTATTGTTCTCTGTCCTTAATAATGTCTCTTTTTTCATATTCTTTCATACTCAGTAACTCCTTGCACCTTAAATGCTTGCTTGTGGTGAAAAGAAAAAGAAAATGGCAACTTATCTTTTTGACCAAAAAAATGAGAGAGAGAGAGTAACAAAATAATAAAAAAAAAAAGAGAAAAAAAAAAGAGAGAGAAAATAAAAAAGAAACTAAAAATGAGAAAAAAATAGATGCCTCTTCACTGGGTGAAACCACTGCTATTGTAACTCAATGAACATGCAAATTCATTTCACTCCTAAGTGCAACTCAAGTAGACTATTTTAATAACTGCTAACTATTCTGCCAAATATAGTTAGTAGTAATCTTCTCTTGGGTGGCTGCAAGTGAGTAGAGTGAACCATATATTTTTTTTGAAGCTTCACAGTTTTTTGAGAAATTCTATTTGTCCTTTTACAAAAATATATTTCTTGACTAGGGTCTTCCTTTCAGATTTTAAACTATCCTTGCAAAACATGTAACTTATTGAATGCCACAAAAAGAATTGTATTCATATAATTTACATAAAGGATTTGACTGCCTACATGTTTATTCTTTTACTTTTCCAAAGCAAAGGACAGACAAAATGTTTCTTATACTTGGAGGCCAGATTTAATTATATAAGTTGATTATTAAGAAATCGAAGCAAATACAGATTATTTAAGAAAATAGCAATTCACCTTGCCACTGATGGTCCGAATGAGAGCAAATTCTCGGCCAGCTGATATCGTCACTGCATCTTCATCAAACCCCGTATCTACAAAGAACAAAAATAATTAAAATAAAAAATGAATTATTGTACATAATGGATAGACAATTTCCTTGCACCTGACAGTCAGACAATTCCCTTGCACCTCACAAATAATTTTCTTAGTTTTTCCACTCTAAAAAATTCTGAAATCTCATGAACAAGATCTCAGAAATTGAACAATAATGAAAATGAAAATTATTTTTATTACCATACAGATATTTCTGTTCTGTCAATAATGCTTGCATTAATTCCTGACCGCTGACAATTCCTTTCTTTTTCAAATACACAAAAATTTAAATTCTCAAATTCTTAGTCAACTTAATTGTCAATTTGTTTTCTACCAGAAAAATTTCACTTATTGCAGCAAGTGGCTTAAATAAAGCCAAAAAGTAGCACTGGGTATTGCCAAGTTGTCACCCATCTATGTACTGACCAGGCTGACATTGGTTAACTTAAGTGATCATACGGGACCCAGTGTTTCAATATGATGTGTCTGTGAACTTGTATTTGTTTCACGCTTAATGTAAATTTATATATTTTTTTAAATAAAGACATACTTGATAAACAAATTTTGAGACAATATCAACATAATCATAAGTATTACATACACCAATCAAGCTACAGCAATCTCAGATTCAATAACAAAAACATAGACAAGTTTTATTTTCTTCATTACACAATCACAAGTTCCATAACCTACCCATTAGGGTAATAGAGGCAGAACATGTACTGCAATTGTAACAACAGTGGTGTATCATGGGCTACTTGGCTTGACAGAGCCATTTGAGTTTTCCATCCCCTAGACTGGTTGCCAACCAAGGCTATAGAACCCAGTATTTACTGCTATTTACCCATAGCTGGAGAAACAAGAAATGAAGTCATACCATTCCAAACTTATTTATATGTAAGTGAATTTAATAAACCGATTACAATTTGAATTCAGCTCTCAGATTTCTCATTCCAAGACATTATTCATTACATCATTATGCATCTGATTCAGTAAAATAATAAAATAAAATGGGTGTGTAGTCAAATAGCTACAACACCAGCATTCTGACCATGAGACCAGATTATAAATCTCACCAATTTATCAGGGAGCTGATTTCTTGATGATATCAACCTGAGGAGACAATGTAGCACTATTGGGAAGTGCATGAAAATCGCACCATGACATGATCCATGCCATGGGAGTGAAATTAGATAGATGGAACTGTTCAGAAACCATTACTGGTTTTGCAAGCACAAAGTCATGTGTCTTCTTGATTAAGGCTTTGATCCTACTGGCCTTGTTCAGGGAATGAACACACCAGATTATATGCGCTCTCCCACAGAAACTATTACTAAGGTCTGCTCAGCATAGTTGCAGCATAAATGACAAAAAATAAAACTGTTTTATCAAAATAAGATGAAAAACTGACAGACTCTTCTTTATCCTGTACAGTAATTGCAGCTGTCCATTAATTTTCTAAAGAAACTTAATTAGAAAGATCAATGATGTTATAAAATAAAATAAGACATATCTCGGCTGATTTACAGGCAAATAAACTAACATACTCAAGAGTGAGAGCTGGATGTGAACGGGACAAGGCCCCATCACAAAATGACCATTATCTTCGTTTACGCATGTTCCCGACATACAAGTTCCGGTCGAAAAATAATATTTTAAAGTGTTTCTATTTTTCGACCAATAAAAATGCTTCCCTCCTAATTATACGTGCATCGTTTTTCGAGCCTGTTAAGCCATAAAAAAACGCCATAAAAGGGGTCACATGGAAGTACAACAGCAGTCAACAGGAGGCCAGGGAAGAGACCTGTCATGGTCAGGCTGAGCGGTCAGCAGCAGTCAGCAGGGGGAGCGCCAGCGCCAACCAGTGTGAACTACTATGAGAGATCAACCCAGATTCAAAGCCGGCTTATGAACTTTACCACAAGGTAGCTGTCCCAAACCCACACGTTCCTGTTGAAATAAATCACGTAAATCTATTTCTGCTGTTGTCATATTTCTTTCTTGCAACCATATGCTTGTCTATAACAATGATAAGAAATCAAGCAGTGAAATACAAGTTTCGATAATGTGACTCATTAGAATACTGTGAAGAAAAAAATAAATTTGGGATGATAGCCAATTCAATAAAGATTTTCTCCTCTGCATAGGTTTTTATGCTTGTAAAATCAGTAATATCCAAAACTATTTCAAACAAGTAAATTTTTTCATCAGGTTAAAATTATGCATATTAAGCAAAATTCATGGATAGATTTCTTTTCAAGAAAACATTATGAGTATTTCTAATTTTTCAACTTTTTCAAATTTTTAGAAATTTGTGAGAAAACCACCATTGATTAATAAGCAAAAGAAGAAATAACATGAGAGAGGAAAAAAACAAAAAAAGAACTCACTGATAGAATGTCTGTGGATGTCAGGATCAAATCCAGACAGGCCAAAAACATCCATACATTTTCTGGCCAATTTAAGAGGAACTTCACTGACCAGTGTCATTGGAGAATGGTAAGGGTCATATGTGCGAACTACAAAGCTGTCCTGAAAATTAAAAAAAAAAAAAAAAAAAAAAGCAAAGTTAATTTATAATTTTAATATATTTCTCAACAATCATTATAAGCAAAGAAAAATGATCATCAAACAGTTGAACATAATAAGGAACAGGTAAAGAGGCAAATTTATATATATATATATATATATATATATATATATATATATATATATATATATATATATAGTCCCCTCCAAATGTATTAGAATGGCAAGACCAATTCCTTTGTTTTTGCTGTTCACTGAAGACATTTGGATTTAAGATCAAAAGATGAATATGAGAAAAGAGTTTAGAATTTAAGCTTTTAGTTCCTGTTACTTACATTTAGTTATGTTAAACAACTTAGGACATACCACCACTTTTTTGAACCCTCCCATTTTTAAAGTGATTAAAACTACTGGAATATGTGACTGACAGGTGTCACTTCTTGCCCAGGTGTTACTTTTAGATTGATTGTTTAAACATTAAATAGCTTTGAATGACTACTCTTGGTTTTAGTCTTGGGTTTCACCTGTTAATTTCTTGTTAAAAAGGATAAACTGCTCAGTCATTTTTCCAGGTTCTTCTAAAATATTTATTTATCTATTTTTCAGCTTAAGCACGAAACTAATTTTTGACACAAGAAGGCTGATATTAAAGTGCACTGCAGTGGACTGCCCAACCATGAGGCATTGTTTCAAAAATATCCAAAGCCCTCTCTTCTTGACATTCCCTTTGCAGGGGCACCTCAGACACCCCTTTAAATCAAGTGGATGGTGTTGCCTGGAGGAGGAGCACTCTGGGAAATAGCTGATCTTATGTTGACAAGTGCCAGAAATTTTAATAATTAATTAAAAATTTATGTAATATTTTGCAAAACTCAAAACCTATATACACCCCTCACAAAAAAAAATCAATTTAAAAAGTGGATTTTCAGGTTTAAGGCAGCTCTCTAATATTTCTGTTTTTAACTTATTGGTAAGGGAGGAAGTAAAAGTTGGGATTAAGGGTATAATTAATTTGGCTAGAAAAATTACCCTTAAACTAAAGCAGTAAAAGAAATGATTGTGCTTAAGAAGCTTAATCTGTCATTCCATATATTACCTAGTTTTTTTGCTTTTTTTTTGCTTTCTGTATTTAATACTCTTAATGCCAGTCAAAAGTGTGTATAATTCTCAATGATGAAGTATATATCAAGAAAATGTTACTTTATCATAGCAAACTTTGCTAAGTCAATTGACAATCCATCTCTACTTGCTCAAACAGTACTTGGTATAATGGGGGTTCAAAATTTCTTACAAGATTGATTCCAATTTCAAAATTAACATCAGCTTTTTTATTTAAAATTATTGAGTTAACAGTTCAGGCCATCACCTCTGCACCAGCTGATGTAAAGGCTATTATATGTGATGGCAACCAAGTAAATGAAGCTTTTTTTAAAATTATATCCTACACTCCCTGAAAAACTTTGTTTAACTGAAGAAAATAAACATTTGCTTTTTGATTATGTTCATCTGTTGAAAAATATTGACAATTTGTGGTTCACAGAAAAGACAGGAGAACTAATCTTTGATGATAATGGAGTAAAACAAGTTGTAAAATGGGCACATTTTAAACATTTATATCATTTTGAAACTGAAAGACTAGTTAAACTTTCAGATTTTAAATGAAATTTCCATTTCTTCAAAGCCCATAGAAAGACAACAGGTTTCTACTTGCCTCAGAGTGTTTTCAGAAAAAAACATAATGCACTTCTCACTCAGTCTGGAATAAATGTGGATAAGAATGATACTGCCATCTTCTTAAACAAGGTTTTGACATGGTGGAAAATTTTACATGTTAAGACCCTTCAAATTGATAAACTATGCAATGACCTTCTACAAGCTGAAATCAGATCTCCAAATGACAGCCGACTTTATTTTATCATTGAGTTTGGTCAAATGGTTTTTAATATAGCCAGCAGTCAAGGTAATCATATAAAACAATTATCCAAACACACTGCTACTACTATAAGCCATACTTGCAATGGAATTGTTAATCTATGTTGACACCTTTTAGCTACAAGCCATAAATATGTGCTATATAAACAACTGATCCATTAGAAAAAGAATTTAGTAAACTTCATCAAGGATCAGGTGGCACTTATTTTATAAATGTCCAACAGGGGATTGAAAAGCTACATATTAAGCAGACATCTTTACTTTTAAATCAAAATGTAAATAATGATGCTTTTGATGTTATGCCAGGTCACTAATTTACATCATGTGATTATAAACTTTGTGAGGAGGGTTCAGAAATATTTGACAATCTGGAAAATTTAGAATCATCTCTTTCTGATGAAATAAAAATGGTTCTTGTATACATAGCTGGGTATATTACAAGAAATGATAATCAAACCAGTGAATATGAAATTCATTTTTATTATGAGAAGTATGGGAAATATACCAATTCAATTGACTGTGGAAAAACCAAACGTTCCTTCTGACCACACTTGCTAATGATTATTTTTTTGTTTCATCCTTTTCCATACAATAAAGGCAAAGATGTATTATAAATGATTAAGTAACATTTTTATGCTTATTTCAGAGTTTCATTTTTTCAACATGGAGAGAAAATATGCTCATATTTTTGCAAATATAGTTTTGAAAAACCTTTGCAAACATTGCACACACAGATCAGACAAAGAACCAGATTTGAAAATTTCAAAACTTTCCTAAAATGATTTTGTTTTATCTGTCTATTTCTGAGATGAGGGATTGTCTTATACACATTTCGGCTGATGCCCTGCAGTCTTCTTCAGGTGCTACTTGTTGAACCTGGTAACTTTAATGAAAATGTGAACAACAAAAAACAAATGAATTGGTCATGACGTTCCAATACCTTTAGAAGGGACTATATATTTTTTCTTTTATATTTTGTCATCCACTGACAGACTGTTTCGCTGTTTCACAGCTCATCAGTGTGACTAGGCATCCAATTGCCTCAAGCTGGGATTGAAACCCAACTGATTTGGTATCAGTCAGAGACTCTACCCCTAAGCCATTGGTGCACAGTAGGGATGAAGGTGAATTTAGATGCATTTATTTTTAGATAAACATGCCAATGACTGGAGAACTCAATTTGTCTTAATGAAGAGTTTTGTATCAGCAGCAGTAATAGTCAATTGTCTGCAATAAAACCTTTATATACATCTTTTATCCATCTTTTTTTTTTTTTTATCTTAAGATGGGGTTTGTGTAGGACTATGGTAGATAAAATTATTATTTTTAATTTTTTTTAATGCTGTTTTGTTATTTTAAAGCCAGGTATTTGCTTGATTTCAGAGATTGTGCTTATGTAAATGGTAGAACTCCAATTTATAATACTTACTAGTATTTATGCGGTGGTATTAATTTTGCTGGTGGGGGGAGGAAGTATAATTATGGACTGATGCGGTAATGGTAATTGTGGTATGGTAGTAATTGTGGACTAATGTGGCAATGGTAATTGTGATGCGGTAGTAATGGTGGGAGGAGCAGGTGATGATAATAAAAATTGTAGCAGCAAATATTTATGGTAGAAGTAATTGTAATGATGATGGTGGAATCATGCATACATATATATGTATGTATGTGCTAGAAAACATTATTCCAAATAAAATAGACGAACGGTCTGTGCATTGATGCTGCAATTTACGGAAGATGTTCGCTACAAAATCCAACATTGAATACAGTGACCAATTGCATACGTATGTACACAACGACACATGGATGCACATATATGCCCAGTCCCACACTGTTCATATATGTTTATATTCGTGTGAACTGCAATGCGTGAACATGCATGTATGTCTGCATACGTATGAGTAGCATTCTGACGACAAATTTTCCTCCCACTACCATAAAAACACCAATATACACAACCATATATAAATCCAACTCGGCCCGGTGGCTAGGATCAAAGTGTAGTATCTGCGCTTTGTGAGCTGCGGTCGGTGTCTGTTTAACTCTCTGCTTGCAGAGAGGAACCCAAATTAAAAGCTCCACCGAAGGGTAGGGTTTCATTGGGAGAGGTTTGACGGAACTGGCCTGCCAAGCGGGTTTGGATGGTTATTTATTTTTGGCTGGGCCTACGGGCTCAGAGATACCCACATTAAAAAGGCCTTGTGCCACATTCGATCCCCGTGGGTGGATTGATAAATACCATATATAAATCCAACTTACTTCTACCATAACAATTTGCTGCTACAATCACAAATAGCATGAAACCCATGGTTACAAACTCATATCAATCCTATATATATATTTTTTATTAATACAAACTTATTAGTCTTATTTTTGTGGGTATACATTTAAATAACATTTATAGTAATAAGAAATAATGTTAAATGAAAAATACATTAAACTATTAATAAACTTTTATTTATTAGATATTGAATTGCCATCCTGGGTATGATGATAAACTACATCCCGCGTCCAGGGTAAGATGATAAACTACGTCCAACAGCAAGGCCTCTGATCAGGTTTTGAGGAGTGTGGAAGTGCCTTTTAATTGCTGGTGTTCCCAGGTCCACCCTGACCTGGGGTGGTAGCATCTGCTAGGGTCCCAGCTATGGGCAAATAGTTAACATCCAAACTTGTGTAAAAACAGGTTTTAATACCAATAATACTTTGTAATAATAATAATAATAAATTATTACCAGTAATAATTTTGAAGGAAAAATTATTATCAGCAGTACTTTTTAAAAAATACCAGCAATACAAACAGCTATACATTTTTGAAAAAAATATTACCAGCTATAGATTTCTTCAAGGAAAAATATTCCCAGAAATAGATTTTTGAAGAAAAACATTATCAGCAATAAAATTTTGTCAGCATTAATTAACCCATTGAGGTTGATATGCCGTAAAACAAAACAAAAACAAGATATTGAATTGTATCACTTCACATCCCCCATACTTTGCCTGATATTTTCAGCTAAACTGATGAATATTTATGAGCATTCCTAATGCAATAATTTTGAAAAACCAATAACATTCTTGCTTTTGTCTATAAATACTTGTTACAAAATAAAATCCTTACCTTTGGCATAATAAAGTCCCTCAGCTTACCTTTTGTCTTTTTCATATTGTCTTTTTACAGATATACTCTATCTGAAATTTTTAGACACACACACACATCTCATGAATAGGTCTGTTTTTGTTTGTATGATATACTATGTTGTTCTACAAGTGTGAATAAAAACCTCTTTAAATGGTACAAAAATTAAATTTGTCAAGAATTTTTGTAACCTAGCAATATCAAAATCCCAGTATAAAACTAATTCTTTTTTTGTTAAAAAATATAAAAAAACAGATTCTAAATGAAAAGAAAACTGATCCTGTTAAATTGATCTCCTCTTTACTTTAAAAACTGTTAACACTCTGAAAATATTCCAGTAATCTGATTAAATAGAAATCTGAAGGTGCTAAGCTGATTGAATTATAAGAAAGTGACAGATTATCCCTGCCTAAACAGACAATCTTCTAAGTTGATTTTACTCTATATCAACTTTGTCATACAAAGGAATGTCACATTTTCTGTCAAGCAATAACTGGAGATGTAAGTGTCTTTTTGTTTTTATTCAATCAAAACTGTTGACAATAAAAAAACTGTTCTGTATTATTTAAAAAGTTTATGGGCATTCTATTATAATGTCATGTTTAACAAGCTGACTTTACTAAGCAATATGACTGTGTAGTAAGGTCAATCCTTATTAGGTGTCCCATGACTTATAAATATTCTAGAAGCTCATAATAGATGAAACTTTATTTATAGCTAGGAACAGTTATAACAAATTAAGTATAAGAATAAAAGAAATTGAACATTGGATAGGCTGTGTTAGGGGTAATTTTGTACAACATAGCAAATTATTACAAAACCAAAACCTAAAAACTCAAGCCATGTTCTTAAATAGCCTCAACAGATCAAGGCTTTCATATGTACGTCATGCATGGCTCCAAACCTGTTCAGAAATATCTAAACTGTCAGCTATATACAACCATTTTCTCCAATTGATGGATAATGGTGGTTTCAAACAGATGAAGCATGTTGTTCTTAATGAGGATCATCCTTCTTTAGACCTCCTGAACCTAAGAATTACAAACAAAGAACTGTACCAAATCAAAGAAACCACATCACTTTCTTATTTTTTTTTTTTAAACTGTGGTTCACTCTGTACAAGGCCCAAGACCCACTTGATGTAGAGGGTAAAAGAGTACAAGGCACAGTTTAGGCAGATATATGAGGAAGATAATAGTTACTGTTAGACTTGAACATTATAGTTATCAGGAAAACAACCTCTTGGGAGCAGCAATTCATAAGAAGGAGCTGCTCAACTGGAACTTACATCTCACCAAAGGAATGAGAGGTGGTTTGCTACAATGTATGTAGCATGGTAGGTGTTAGCCATGATGCTTAGAACAGGTGGAACTAAGAAATATAGTTTGTCTGAGCACTTTCCATGAAAATAGTGATAGAGCAGTGATGAGTTTGCAATGTTTTATCTATGAGAAAAAAATTGGAGGGTAGAAAATAAATTGTCACCCACATCTGGCTCATGTAGAGGTAGAGGATAGCATGGGGAGTCAGGTACTTACTAGAGCGGTACAGGAAAGCAACCAATTTTCCAGGATCTTTAGCAATGGATCATATGTATGAGTTCCATTTGAGGTTTTGGTTGAGTTTAAGGCCTAATAGGAGCTCAAAGTACAGTGCATCCATGAGGAAACATCCATTCATCACATTTAGTGATAGTTCAGGGTCCGATTAATGATGATGGAATGTAACTAGTTTGGTTTTTGAGGCATTTAATGGGATCAGCCAGTTTTTCCCCAACTAAGATATTATAGCTAGGTCAGAGGAGAGATCAGTTGCCAATCTCTGATCATCTTGAGTTAAGAACTTTCAACAATAGTAACAACGAAAATGGATATCACATGAAACTCAAAGAGAAAATACCAAAATAATCAAGACGTTGACATTCCACACTACTTCAAATAAAAGGCTAGGAAGGAAAACCCTCATTAATACTAGAATTGATTAATTGATTTGTTTTTATGTCTTATCAATACCTTTGTGGATTATTTAATACCGAAACATTTTGGATTGTAAGAAGAAATTGGTTCCTGGTTTTCCCATGCAGTCCCTGATCTAAGTACTGACTGGGCTTCACACTGCTTAACTTTGGTGATCGAATGAAAGCCAGTGTTTTCAATGCAATTTGACTGTAAGCTCAATATTGGAAAGAGCAATAACATTTAATGGAATTGAGAAACCAATTTTCCTGAGAAATTCTTTTAAAAGAAAGATTTTATAAATTTCAACCAATAGTAACACAGGCTGCTCGGTCAATGAATGGTGAAGTTTTCCTTATAAGGAAATGGCTAATATTATCAGTAGAGATAAAGAGAACAGATACTATACTTAGTATTTACTTGCCACTTGATGCTGGCAGAATGTGACACAAGGTCAGTTTAATGTGGGGAGCCCAAGCATGTGCACCCAGGTCAGATCCAAAATTAACCCAGTCCCCCCAACCCCATTACTAGAGGACTTTCAACAGCAGCAACAACTAAAAGCAATCACAGACATAACTCGATGAGAAAATAATGACATAATCAAATTAACGTTTTGCATGACTTCAAACAAAAGGTTAGGAAGGAAACCCCCTATCAATACTTAAAAGAGTGATAATAGTGGACTTCAGAAAGGTACATAATTTTAATAGAAAGATTTAATAAATTTCAACCAATAGTAAGACTGGCTGCTCAGTCAATGAATGACACATTTTTCCTTATAAGGAAACAGCTAATTTTACTATTAATGTTACAACAATTGTACGAAACCTTGCAGGGATGGTGTTTTTGTTTAGATGTTAACATGGGTATTTTTACTTACATTTCATTATATTATCATTATATTATTATTATATTTCATTATTATTATTATTATATCACATTTTTTTCATTATATATTATTACATAATATTTCATTATTATTATTATTATTATATTACATATTATTATATTACATTTCAATATTATTATATTACATTTCAATATTATTATATTACATTTCAATATTATTATATTACATATTTTCATTATATTACATATTTCAATATTATTATTATTATATTTTCAATATTATTTATATTACATATTTTATTATATTACATATTTTCATTATATTATATTACATATATCAATATTTACATATTTTCATATATATTATATATATCAATATTATTATATTACATATTTTCATTATATTATATTACATATATCAATATTATTATATTACATATCAATATTATTATATTACATATCAATATTATTATATTACATATCAATATTATTATATTACATATTTTCATTATATTATATTACATATATCAATATTATATTACATATTTTCATTATATTATATATTTCAATATTATTATTATATTACATATTTCATTATATTATATATTTCAATATTATTATTATTATTATTATATTATATATTTCATTATTATATTATATATTTTCATTATATTACATATATCAATATTATTATATTACATATTTTCATTATATTATATTATATATTTCAATATTATTATATTACATATTTCATTATATTATATATTTCAATATTATTATTATTATTATATTATATATTTCATTATTATATTACATATGTTCATTATATTATATATTTCATTATTATTATCATATTACATATTTCATTATTATTATATTACTTTTTTTCATTATTATTATTATAATGTATCATATATTTTTTCATTATATTACATTTCATTATATTATATTTTTTTATCAACTGAAATATCAAATGCAACATCAAACATTTTACTGCCACATTTAGGAAACTAGAAAAGGCAACAACCAAAGGCAAACATAAATCTAAGATGAGGATAACCATCAGAAATAAAAACCAAAAAAAAAAACTGAAAATTATTCAAGATTTATCTTAATTATCAGTGGATAAATTTGTAAGTGGCTGCCACAATTTCCTGTTTGCCCTGTCAGTGGGGCTTAGAATATATTGACTGCATCCCCAACAAATAGTCACCGACCACACAGATTTTGAATACAGAGTTATCCTTCATCTAGACTAGTTGCTACTCAAGGCTATAGGACCCAGGCATAGCTTTTGGGCCTTTTTGTCAGTAACCAACAGAAACAAAATTTCATAACATATCAATTCCAAGTCATTAAGCTTTACTTTGATTAATAACCACAAGGATTTAGAGTTAGGGTTTTTGTTGGTGGGGACAATCAACAATGACCTGCTGCAGAACAATGGTAAGTTATTATCTGTCTATATTTCTGAGATGAGGTATTATGTACACTATTTACATTGTTCGAACTATTGTCCTCATCTTTGTTGCCATATTTATCACAACATTTTGGCCAATGTACACTCCAGCCTTCTTCAGGTGGTTGGAATATTGACTGTATCCTTTATTTTGGCTCACTGGGGTAGACTGTTCTAGTTCCATGTACCATGTACCATGTTATATTGAAGTCAGTTATCAGTTATCTCCTTTTAATTCTTCTAAGTTATCCACCACCTTAACCAGAGGTACTGAACTCACACTCTTTGGGTCCTGTCACTGGATCTAACTGATAAGTGATAACTGACTTCCATTAGACATGGCACGCGGAACTAGAACAGTCTACCCCAGTGAGTGTAATAAAGGGTTCAGTTCGACATTCCAATCACCTGAAGAAAGCCGAAACATTGTAATAAATATGGCAACAAAGATGAGGACAATAGTCTGAACAATGTCAACAGTAAGTTATTGTTGGTGATTTAGTTTTTTGTTGAGGGCTTCAAGAATCTGACTTAATGATAATGTTGCTCTATTTTTTTTTAAAATCAATTCACCCCAAGAAAGGTGATAATGCCACTAAAGCATAAGGGAGCAAATGGAAGTAAAAGAAAATGAGAAGACTTTAAAAGAAAGCAGAAATATGATTCTAAACCAGGAAACAAGGGATAAACCTTTACTCCTCTATTCACCCCAAGCAAGGTGATAATGCCACTAAGATGCAAGGGACTACTGGGAGTGAAAGAGAATGAAAAGACTTTAAAAGGAAGCAGAAACCCAATTCTAAACAAGGAAACAAGGGATAAACCTCTACAATTATTTTTTTTTAAAAAAATGAAAGTAAATAAACTAAAAAGTAACTCACATCTTTAGTGGATGCAATCTGTCCAATATTCTGACCATCACTGAAGAGGACGGATGAGCCTGGAGAGATATCTGAAAAAGAAAGAAAAATTTTTGTTATGAAATACAATTAAGCTTTTATAATCTGAAATCATGAAAGAATTTTGTTTTTAATGCCATCTCTCTACAGGACAGAAGCAATTATAACAACCTTTTCTTTTCTAAATATCTATGAATTTTCATGCAAATGGGAAAGATAGTGGAGTAGTCCCCCATTGCCTTCTCCGCAGTTTTGAATTAAAAATAGTAATGTTCCTTTAGGATATCGGCAATCATGGCTCTCTACAGATCCCTTTCTCCATGATTTTGTATTCAGAGTTGTCCTTCTCACAGATTCCTTTTCTTTATTATCTGTGAATTGCTATGACAATGGTTTCCCATTGCATTCTCTGAATTCAAAATAGTCCTTGCAAAAGCAACAGAACCCTGCTTTCTTCTTCTAAGAGCTGCGTCCTTTCAAACATGGGTGATCATGGCTCTTCACAATTTCTTATGTTTTATAGTACTTTGTAATGTTTGTCCTTTTGCCATCTCTCCTAATCCTTGTTCTGCCAACCATTTACAAGCTCGCTAAGTAGGTTTCTTGCTACTGTCTTCTGTCTATGATTGCCATCTAAACTGGTTCCCCCACTCCAATTTACTGGGTGCGAGGAGGGTGTTTAACCAACCAGTAGGATGAAAAATAAGACCTAGCAAAGGGCAGAAGAACTCTCAATGAGTCAAAGCCAGCTAACTAGAGTTCAGTCAGTTATGCGCCATGCGTGATACACGCTTAGGCAGTCATGTATCTTTCAATACATGACTGACGAGGCAGATTTTTTCACACAGTAGGTTGCCATTTCTTTCTGTGGTAGACCAGTTGCCATCCAAAGCTATAGAACCCAGTCTGTTCTGCTATTTAGCCATAGCTGGGGGAAGAAGAAGAGGATTCATACATTTCCCAAGGGTATTAGCACGTAACTGAATGTAATGGATCCAATTGGAATTCAAACTCAGCTCTCCAATTCTTCAATCTGAGCCGCTATCTAGTACTCCACTGTAAGTGTCTTAATAACATTACCATAGTAACATATATAATGATATGATCAACTGCTGTCAATACTGGAAAGATTAAAAATGACAAATGTATTTGAGAAATGTATTTTCCTGAGAAACTGTTTTAAGAGAGATTTTATAATTTTCAACTGACAGTAGTGCTGACAGCTCATGTCAATGAATTCCAAATGTTTCCTTGTAAGGAAACGGTTAATATTACCATTATTATATGTGTGTGTGTTTGTGTATCTGTATGTATTAGATTATCTTGGAGCTAGTGGTTATAATTTTTGTGTTCAAACTAGATAAATGTTTTCCAATTTCCACTTATATATTTGCTATAGCATTTCTATCTATCTTATGGTATCCTAAACACAAAAATTATAACCACTATCTCCAAAACAATCAAATATACCTCATTTCCTATAAATACCAAAGTTTAGATACATTACTATAGGGTAATGGTTAACAAATTAGGTTCATAGATCATTACTACTGTGTAGTAAGTTTAATACCTCAGTTGTGGTCTTGTACCAGACACAGCTCTACTTAAACACATATTATCACAAAGAATCTTAGTAGTGTGAGGTCATGTCACAAACAGAAAAGAGTGAAGATTAGAATCTAGTGGATACCATTACAAGTCATATTTACTTGGACTAAAAGTTGGGAAATTGATCTACAGACTTCTATATTTTGTTAGGAGTGAATGCCTTTCACAGGGGTATCAAGACAAAGCCAGTTTCCTATCAAACTATTTTGTTATGAGTGAATGCCTTTGATAGGGGCATCAAGACAAAGCCAGTTTCCTATCAAACTATTTTGTTATGAGTGAATGCCTTTGATAGGGGCATCAAGACAAAGCCAGTTTCCTATGAAACAATTCTCCTTCTATGATTTATAACAGTGCTTCTTAAAGTATGGATCACAATCCCAAATGCTGGGATCACAAGGCAAAATAATGGGGGTCATGAAAATTAAATTCAAGCACTTTAATTTCAATTTATATGTTATTTCACAAATGTATATTATTTAAAGTGACATGCCATCTTGTGATGAAAAATGGAGTCATGAGTGAAAAAAAGTTTAAGAAGCGCTGTTTTATAATAATAATAATAAAGACTATGTCAGCTAAGGACCAAACCTACCTTGCAGTTGTGTAGTCCCCTCAATCTCCAAACTGTCTTGGTTGACAATATACAGTGTGCCTTTATTTTCATTGCAAGGATGGAAAAATAAATATTCCTGGAAAAGAAAACAAAATTTTAAGATGTTTTTTGTACTACCATTCACACAATACAAGGCCCAAGAACCACTCAAGTTCTGGTTACTCAATGAGGTTGTTGCGAGGTTGAAGTAAGAAGTGCATATTATAAGGATATGTAGGCTAGATAGCAGTTGACACTAAACTTGAGGTTAGTGATTCAGGATGCATCCTTTCTGGACTGTTCCACATAGTAACAGTTCTGGGGTAAGAAACTGTGAGTGGAACTTCCCTATTACCAATGGGATGTAAAAGGAATGAGGATGACTTGTCAAGTCCTATCTGCGATGGTCTGGACTGGTAGAACTAAAGAATTGTGTTCGTCTTGTTTGGTTTTTGCACGTCATCATGTTGAGAGCACCTCTCTCGACCGAGAAAATCACTGTTGTTATATAGCTCTCCCAGTCCCAGACCCATGCTGACTGTTAGCTGCCCAGTAACATTCATATGCAAATAATCTGCACCACCTACTCCAAGTAGGTCTTCTCTCAACAGCCCATTGCAGAGGGGACATAACTCCTGGTACTTACAACACCACGTACAACCAATCAGACTGAGCAGATTCTCTGTTACAGGAATGTAGCATAACTACCATGAAAATAACAAGCGGCTAGCAGCATTTCATCGATCATAAAAGGACTATAAAAATATGCTCATTTCTTTTTAAAATCTGGAATTTCAAAAACTTTTATTTTAGAAACTTTTAATATAAAATATAAAATCTCCTGAAAATGAGCAACTGGCTTTCACTACTCCCAGGTTAAATTGGATATTATGTTTTTGGATAAATGATGATTTAAGTTGTTCTGTTTATAATGATGAATAACAAAGGGTATAAAACTTACCCCAGCATATGCAAGCCAGCCTTTGCCTGAATCAAAATTATCTTTGCAAGTATATACATGACCCTGAAAAACAAAAACAAACAGTAAAATATAAAAACTTGCATATATAATTCACATTGCATTAGGATCTAAACATGTTATTTAAATACCTGATGAAGGCTGAAGAATAAAACAGTTGGAATATTGTGGTAATCACATCAAGAATGTAAACAAGTTCCATTGGCCAAACAGAACTTGGAATTCTGTCATCATGTTTATTTACTACTTTATAATAGTAGATACAATAGTCTTATGTTAAAGCCTTCATACATTTGAACTGTGAGATGAAATATTTCAACTATCAATTGCTGATTTCTGTTTAAATTTCTAGGATAGGAAGTTATTATTAAATACATTCAACCCAACATCCTTACCTGTGTTGTTGTTATCACAATGTTTTAGTCATTGAGCCCTCAGGCCTGATGAAGTCAGAAACATTGTGTTAACAACAAAGATGAGGACAAGAATCCACATGTGAAGGAAAATAAAGCAAGGGTGTGTTGAGATTGGGGAGAGGGACAACAGGTAATAGATTGTTCTCTTAACAATTAAGGAGGAACAAGCAGAAAACAGAAAAAATAAAAAAACTGAATAATGACAAACGAGGCCACTGCCTCCAACACTACAGCATGGCGGGTGGTACATGACTTCTGGAACAAAATGCTTGTCTGTGTTGTTGTTATCAAAATGTTTCAGTCATTGAGCCCTCCCCACTGATGAAGTCAAAAACATTATGATAACAATAAAGATGAGGACAATAGTCTGCTGGTGTAGGAAAATACGACACAGGTGCATTGAGTTTGGGGTAAACACTTAACAATTAAGAGAGAAAAAATAGAGAAGGGAGAGAGATGGAAAGTAATAAAAAACTGAAACATGACAGGAGAGGCCACTGCCTCAAAAACTACATGTACATTGTTTGTTTTTGATTTTTAAACTGCACAGTAGTGTCAGTTGAGCACCACCCGTGAGAAAAAGAGAACCATGACATAATTCACTCTGCCAGAAATTTGGAAACAGCATACTGCTTGGTATTTGCACCAGAATCTCAAATACAAATATTTCAGATTGTTTGGGCATTGAGGACAGTGCAGAGGATTTGGAAAGATATATATCCAGTCAACATCATGGTGTTTGGAGTGATCACTAGATATGGCGATGTTATACCGCAATTCATATGCTCACAGGGCTTCAGACTTGAGGAGGTAGTGCTGCCCTGGGTCAAGAGGGGGGCTGCTGGAAGACATTATGTCTAGCAACAGAACTGCATCTTGCCACACAAGCAAGAGAACCTAGTCATGGCTATCAGATAATTTCTGTGACCACTCACCACTTACATCTGGCCACCTAACTCCCTAGGTTGGAGCCCCCTTGATTATGATGTGTAGCGTGCAGTTGAGCGAGAGACCCACAAAAGTCCTTGTAACACCAAAGATGAACTGAAGGCATAGATAATGGTAGCATTTACCAACTTAAACAAGGAGACAGTCCAAAAGAGTTGCAAGAGGTTCTGAAGTCATCTAGTGGCCGTGGTTGAAGCCAATGGCAATTTTATTGAATTTACTCTTTAGTATTTCAAGATATTTTTGTGCAATTTTGGTAAATATCTGTTAAAATGAAATATCAGTGTTATTTTCATTTTTGCATAATTTAGATGACAATTTATCTATCGCACCCTGTATATAAGTCAGACTGTTACCCATACAGTAGGCTCTCCACATTGTTGAAATGGTCCAATAGAAAGGCAAATGTCAGTACACACTGTTCTGCCACAGGAGCTGTCAGGACATTGCTGAATATGGCAACAAATTTCCTTGAGATGATGCTATAATTCCAGAAGTTTATTGGTTAGATCATCCAATATATAAATTAATAAATTTCTAGAATTAAATATTCCAGAATTATAGCCTCAAACCAAGACAGTTTGTGGCTGTATTCATCAGTGTCCTGACAATGCACTTTGTTATTCATTTCAAATCTAATCTTTTATCCTCTTTATAAATAAGCAATTGTTTTGTTCATGACTTTTAGATTCAATTCCTTAGTTATTCAAATAAACCTATTTTCTGTTCTTGAAATGGTAACTATCTTTGCATTTAGATCACAGCTTGAGTGTAAAGTGAAGTAACATCAATTTTTTTAATAGTATATATTGAAAGTTTAGCAAATATAATTCTTAATTTCTAAAATACTGTTGTTCATGAAAATAATAAAATAAGGACTGAATGTTTTGTTTAATAATGGTTTTACTTAAATTGAATTTAATTTCAGACATAAAAAAAACAACTATTTGATTATTCTACTGTGCTTACCACTTAATCTATGTGGCATGATGCACAATTAAGTGGAATTGATGGATACTAATTAAGAAACTACCCCATTATAATCCACTAGACTATTGTATTTTGAATCTGGCAACATTGCAGTCTGGTATTAGCAAAGTGCCTGTAGATATGAGAGACTTGATGATGGCATACCATGCCCAATTTTGTGAGATGCATTGAGTTTCTGAATCTAGCCTCAGAATCTATAGGCCTGATTATCCTTTAGGCTGGTATAGGCTGCATCCTTGGGTCCCTCAAGCTTTTATAAAGCAATGATATTTAATTTTCTAAATGCTTTAACTTAGTTTCATAAACTAAAAAAAAAATATCAATATGACAAATTCATATTTATTTGATCTTGGCATGGAAGCAAAGCAAGAAAAAGAATGTTTTAGTTTGTGTCATTTTGTTTCAAGCAGAGGATCTGTTTGATTTTAGTTCAGAATGTTTAAATCTTAGAAATTTTTATAAAGTGATTTTAATTTTCAGGATGTTATAAATTCAAAATAGTTTCATAAACTAAAATGATATCAATATGACAAAACTCATTTATTTTGATTGTTTTATTATTATAATGCTGATTATAAAAAAGTTAGTTGTGTTGGAATATGTTAATTTAGTTTGTAATGAATAATAAAACAGTTTTATTTCTTGAATATTTTTATTGACAAACAAAAGGTAGCTATTCGAGTTTATTTAAAGAATTTGCAATAAGTTTACTTCAAGCTATATAATATATATTCAAACAATAGTTCAGTACACGTCAAGTTGGATTTGGTCAAGATCAAAACAACAAGCAAATAAAATGCACAACATCACAACCTAATGTGCGCAAGTGAAATATTTGCATGGTTGTTTATAATGATTTCTACAATAACGGCAAACGCGTTCAGGAAATATCAAACTTTCATAACAGATAGAAGCTGCAAAGAGGAACAATCATCTTGTTTATCCCAAATTTAATTACGAGAATTTACAAAAAGGAACGATCAATTTGCTTATCTTCAAACACTGCTGGTGGCACCAAGGGTGGCAGTCCCATCATAGCCACTGAAACTGTGATATCACCCCTGATGAAGACAGGGTATCGCACATGCTAACACACATTGTATGTTAAAAAAAAGAAAAAAATTATGAAATGAATTAAGTCCGGCAATTATTTTAATATATTTTATTGTTACATGTTATTTATATAGACACAAATATTAAAGTAAATGCTCTGTTTATGATAAACAGTATTAACAACATTTACCGACCGATGCATACTTTCTATGAAATTTCTGTAATTCAGGCCGGTATATATAGCGTCATTTGTTTATGTTAAGATACGTTTCAAACAGATATGATCATTTGAGGGAAATCATAGGAAATTTGTAGTTTAAAAGCAATAATTCAACCTTGCTAACCAGACAAAGTAGCTAAACTGGTATAGCACGTCAGGCTATACATGTTCGATTCCTGTTGGAGGATGCATATTTTCTATGAAATTTCTGACATTCAGGCCGGTAAATGTTAATACTGTTTATTATAAACAAAGCATTTATTTAAATATTTGTGTCTATATAAATAACGTATAACAATAAAATATACATCAACCTATATAAATGTTGCTAAAATATATCACAAGTAAAAAATATTCAAGACAGGTTAGAGTTAGAGGGTGGCTTCCATCATATGGGGCTCCCATAATTTCATTGGAGTAGAGGACCCCAAAAGGTCATAATCCACCCCTGTATCTATTCAGTTATGATCATCATGGTTTAGAATTAAACCGAGGAAGAAAAACACAGAAAACTCCTACAAGAGCAAGTAATGACATCATCATTATCATCATTGCCAGACAAACTTAAGATGCAGTAAACAAAATAAAGAACAAGGCTAATGTTTGAAACTACCAAACTTCTTTAATTAGAACAATCTTACCAATAAGAACTTATAGCATGCACTAATCTCTCAAAGTAATATGGTGAATAAAGGGACATTTGCTACACATTGTGTATTGTTGCAAGTTTATATTTAAAAAAAGACATTTAGCCTTGTGACAGGTAAAAACCTGGAATTAATATCAGATTTTTATTTTAATTTATATAATACCAGATGTTTTAGGATAAAAATTAAGAACAGAGTAGCCATTCAAGACAACTTTCTTTTCATGATTGAAAGACTGAATCAGCTCAAAAATCATCCAGAAATACTAAAACATTTCAACTTGTGAAGAACACCAGTATACCAAACTCTGTCAAATGCCTTTGACATATCCAAAGAAACAGCCCAAGCTTTACCTTTCTTATTTAAAGCTTTATAGACTCTTTCAGCAATAACCATTAATTCATCAGCAGTTGACCTAGAAGTGAAATCCAATAGCTTCTTTGAAAGGAGATCCTGCAAGGTGAGATGCTTAAAGAATTCAGAGTTGATTAGAACTTCTAGTATATTGCCAAGAGGTAAAAGACTGATAGTTGGAAGGATCAGATGATTTGCCAGAGTTCTTAAAGACTGGAACTACAGAAAAGGATTTCCAACAAGCAGGAAAGCAAGAAGCAGCAAGGTATTTATTGTAGAGTTTAGGGAGAACAGGAGCCAGCTCAGGAACACATTTCTTAAGGATCATTGCAGGGATACTGTCAAGTCTACAGACTTTGTGGGGGTCCAGTTTGGAGATGACAGCAAAAACCATGGATGGAGTTATATGCATATCACCCAGCAGAGATTCCGTTCTAAGTGGAAAGTCAGACAAAGATACTCCGGATGAGTTAAGAGTATACTTTGAAGAGAAATTTTGTAAATATGAGCAAAACATTCTGCTTTATCAGCAAAAATAAGTTAACAGATAAAATTGAGTGAAGAGAGGAGGGATAGAAGATTTACTCTTATTTAACACACTATTACAGAGCCACCAGCAGTCACAAAAAAAAGGTAAAAGACAATAGGAAACTATATTATTAGCCAATGCGTTTCATCCAATGTGGACTTTTTCAAGGCAAAAAAAATGAATTTATTGAAAACAAATTAACTATTAACAACAAACAAAAATTCAATTACAATTTTTTACTACTCATAAAAAAGAAAATAACTCACCTCAGAAGGAAAATCCTCAAGAGTGCCACCATTGAATATTATCGAAATATTAATCTACATCCAGATTTTTTCCTAATATCATCTTTCCTAACAGAATTACTACTCTCCCTAACCAACTATATCAAGAAATCAAAAACAAAAAAATGGTTGAATCCATCAACACAGCAATAAAAACAATATTTCTACATGTGAAAGTACTTGACATAATTTTCAGTTGACAATATAAATACAATAGCATTTTCTAAGTTCTTCCAGTTGCTAAGGACATTTTGTTTGTTGTTTAATAGTTACTTTGTTCTCAATAAATTCATTTCATTTTTGCCTTGAAAAGTTCACATTGGACAAAACGCATCAGCTAATGATACAGTTTTCCTATTGTCTTTTACCTTTATAAATATTGTCTTTTTCTACAGGTTAGCTCTGAGAAATTTTATATTATATATATATATATATATATATATATATATATATATATATATATATATTTTATATATATAATTATTTATTTAAAAATATGATTCCAACTCGCAACAGTTCCTTCCTATTTTCTATATACTTTCACATATATATATATATATATATATATATATATATATGATTGCAGCATCTTGTCAGAAGAAAGCCTTCTCTTCATTGATCACCTGACAACAATGGTGCATCTATATGACTCTTCAACCTAGCTTCAACCTGCATGATTGATTGCAGATGTGACACTTGAACTGTCCATCTTTCAAGATTACCAGCTAAAATAAATCTTTGTGTATTTTGGAATACATAGTCAAGGCACCTGCTGGCTTACATAGTAAGCCATGTGTAGGACAGATATGCTGTCACAATAACTTTCTCTGCTACTATTATCTTTTTATATTTTCAAAATATATACTTACTTTGATCGTACCACCAAACCCTGAGCCAACTTTGGACAATCCTTGCTTATTGAGGACATATAAATAACACCCATCACTAGCCAAAGCACAATGAGATTGAACTGGAAAAAAAAAACAGAAAAAACAAATTCTCAATACAATTAATAATTATTACAATAAAAACGTAATAAAAAAAAAAAAAACAACAACAAATAACAATAGAAAACTTGGAAGAATTTTCCAGTTAGAACAGAATTAGGTTATCTGCATTTCTGGCAACTGTTGTTTACCAAATTCTTGTGCTGCTATGATTATTTCTTTCAGTTCCTCTTCACCTGGTATGGTGCCTTATTTGGTATGGAACTTTTTTTTTTAAATTAGTTTCTTCATGGTATGATTATTTTGTCCCAGATTTATTTTAAAAGATGAAAAATTCTCACTAGTATGACTATTCCAGACAGCACTTGTATTTTGTATAAGAGTGTATTTGTTTGATTTGATTCTATTTATTTATTCTGTATTTATGACAAACATGGATTTATCCTGAAGATGATTTGAATTAACAATGAAATATTATTTATTGAAATTTTTAAATAAATTAATTTTATTTAATTTCATTTTATTTAATTTTAAATTTATTGACATTTATATTATCGTAAAATTATTTAAGCATTTATGACAATAAACAAGGATTTATTCTGAAGATGATTTGAATAAACATTGAAATATTAACAAAAATCACCCACATCTCTTGTTTGTTAAATAAAAATTACCCTCAGACTTGTTTTAGCAGATAAAAGATGGAAGGAAACATCAGTCTGATAATGCTGATTGTCTATAGTTACTGACATTAAATCTTTAGTGACTAATATCAAGTTACATTATGAAAAAAAGAGGAATAATACAAGGTTATTAAAAAAGAATGAACCGATTTCATTATGCAATATATTTTATAAGGAAAAGAAATAGAAAACTCCAGCCAAGTCACAAGTATTCTATTCACAATTGATTTTTATTTCCTGTCTTACAAGTGTTCAATGTGGCCACCACTTGCAGCACAGGCAACATCAATACAATAAGAGAATTCCTCCCAGATGTGTATCAGCATATCATGATCCACTGAGTTGATCACTGTTGTTATTCAATGTTTAAGGTCATCGAGGTCAGTGAGTAGGAACATAAACACAACCTTTTGTGTCTCCCCCCCCAAAAAAATATAACACACTGTGTGGTCTGGTGATCTTGCAGGCCAAGCACAAAGAGCAAGGTCTTGGTAAGTGCCTGAACGAGGTATAGTCTGTAAGATTTCAAATGTAGACATCTTAGCACATGCCAGATAGTGGATTGAGAGATTGCAATCTCACCGCTAGCTCAATTTGTGGACTTCTGTGAACTCTCCTCAAACACAGCACAGATTCTCACCTCTTGTTTCTCTGAAATTCGTGGTCGTCCTGGATTTTTTACACTACACAAACACCCACTCTCTTGAAAATGTTTAAACCACTGTTGAATGTTCTTAGGAGAGGCTGGATTAATATTAAACTGCCTTCAAAAAGCACACTGCACCATGACAACCATGTTTGTTTTTGTGAACTCAAGAATACAGAATGCCTTTTGCCAAAGACTCACCATTCCTGGGGTAAACAAACAACTGAATGTTGCTGGAGATACAATGTGACGACAGTGCCCTCATGGCAGCCATTCAAAACTTAGAAAACTTTTCTTTCAAATGGTCACCGACTCATTCCATGATGATGCTTGAGAACTGAAGCAATGCGTCATGAAATCAGTTCATTCTTTTTGAATAACCCTGTATAGTACTGCACATTTATCAAGCACACTATCAAATCTGATATTGTAAAATGCCTGTACACTGTAAATATACACTATTTTGTGCTACTGTTAAATTCACCCTTTTCTGCTTTTCTACTCTTATTCCAAATGACATGGTTATAGAAAATGATAAATATAAAACCACTTAAACACACTGGCATATAAAAAGGGGAGAAAACCCAAGGAACAATAAGCTACACGTTTACACTGAAGAAAATAAAGTGACGGACTGCCAACTAGTGGCCAGCCTGTAAAGCAGCAGCTTGTATCCAATGTGGACATACCTCCATTCGTAGTCCACCAGACTTACAAAATGAATCAGCTGCTCCAAATTTGGCTCATTGATTCCGATAACAATTAAAGAGAATTCTGTAATATTGAGGTATGAGTGTACTTATAAAAATCTTCTTTACAACTTGTAGTATTCACTCATATATATATATATATATATATATATATATATATATATATACATACACACACACACATATATTTCTTCTCAAACCAACTGTATTCAACTGGCCATGATGTTCCAAAAATTAAAATGCAAATTCTACATCTTTGATGACATCTGCAATAATTCAGAAATTAAACGCAAAAGGAAATAACTGATAACAATCATTAAAAGTTTTCCATTTTTTTAAATTACTGAAGGTAAGGTACTGTTTACTGACACATCAATATTATGGGTCATTTCATGCTAATTAAATTACTGAACTCAACAATTATTTATTCAAATTTATTTCTGCAAAAGTAAATTGCTTTAATTTTTATCACATTGGATTAGAATATTTTTGCGATGACATGATATCAGTGAAATATCCAGGAGATGCATTGTTTATATATATATATATATATATATATATATATATATATATATATATAAATTGTCTTTAATCAGTATGCAAATTTCTTATCAAAGTAAGAAGACCTCCTGTCCCAGAACAAAGATAATTCTTACACCAAATATGTTACTAGTCACTCCCATGTTGTTAAATGTGTATTGCTTACCTGAAACTTTTTGCCTAGATACACTGTCAAGCTTGAAAGAGTCAGCAAGGGCCTTGACCTTCACACCCTGACTCAGCCAATCAGGAAGCTGTGTCCGCCCATGAAGAACAGCATGGATGCTCTTTTGTAATGAGGTCAGAATACTGGATACCTGAAGAAAAAGGAGAACAAAAGTATCTCATAATATTGTACCTCTAATTAATTTATTAATTACATACCTTAAAAAAAAATTTTTTAAAATAAAAAAAAAAACACAGTCATAATATTTATATCTTTTTTTTTTTTTTCACCCCAAGCAAAGCAATAAAGCCATGAAGACACAAAAGGTTACTGAGTATGAAAGAATCTCATAAGAAACATTATTCAGGAGAGAGAACAATAAATGAACAGATATCAAAGAGACAGAAGATGACGACTGACAAGACATTTAAATCTTTGAAGGCACTAAGACACAAGGAATTACTAAGTGTTACTAAGTGTGAGAAAATATGAAAAAAAGAAAAGATTATTAAAGAAGAGAGGTCAATAAAAAAACAGGAATGAAGACAGAAGATAATGATTGACATTGATTTTCAAAAATTTAAATACAAAGTTGACTGGAAAGCAAGAAGCTGAAAGAAAGTTCCACAAGTGAGAAGTGCAAGAGAAGCAACTGTTAGCATCTAATTTATGGTTACATCTAGCTATTTCAATTGTAAAATGATGAGACCTAGTTGCCAATCTAGTACTGCACTTAAATTTGTAAAGTCTGGGTACCAAAGAGGAAAGAACATCAAAACAATTACCATGAAAGTTTTTATAGAAAAGGCAGACAGAAGCTATATTATGGTAGTGGAAAAATAACATATACAAACAAACTGCTTTCTCTCTTCAATTTTATCTGTTTTTGCAAAATCTATTTGACTAAAATTAATTCTCAGTGACCAAGAAAGCTCAAAGAAGCAACATGTTTAATTGGGTATTGACTATATGTTTAAGAATATGAGTTTAACATGTTTGAAGTTTATTGTAGTAGCTTTTTCTTGAAATTTTTTTTACTTAAGCTCTCCTGTTTCTATACAAGTAAACATAGATCAGTCAGTTTATATAAAAACTGTTGAAAAGTTTTTGCTCAGACAGTGCTTTATAATCAACTTAATATGTCCTGATCCATCTGTAGCTAATGTTCAATCTTCATGAGGTTTTATATATTTTTTTCTTCAAGTCTGTGGGGGGCAATTGTTATCTATCCTACATATATTTTATATGCAACCTTGCTCTCACACTATACACCATTACAACATCCCCTTTAAGTAATCATCCACCTTGAGTGCCACTTAGGGATTGTATTGGATGAACTTTAGTAAAAAATGAAGATTCAATTATGCAGGATGCGATAGGTAAATTGTCGCTATTTTATAGTTTTAATTTCATGCATGTGTATTGTTTGTTTTTGGTTTTGTCAACTGCATAGTATAGTAGGATCAGTTGGACACCATCTGCGAGAAAAAGAGCACTATGATACAATTCATTCCACCAGAAATTTGGAAATGGCATAATGTACTGCTTGGCATTCATGCCAGAAACTCCAATACAAATATTTCATAGTGTCTGGGTGTCAATCTAAGAACAGTGCAGAGGATTCGGAAAGAGAGGCATGAGTCTAATGGTGATTATGAAGGTGTTTGGAGTGATCGCTAGTGATAGCAACATTACAGGGCTTCAGACTCAACATGGGGACCTACATCAAGTGCCTTGAAGAGGTAGTGCTGTTCTGGAAGTCCCAATGTCTGGCAACAGGACTCTGCACCATGCTGCAAAAGCAGGAGAACCCAGTCATGGCTATAAAACAATTTCTGCAACCACATCATCACTTACATCTGCCCACCTAACTCTCCAAACTGCAACCTCTTGATTATTATGTGCGGGGTACAATTGAGCAAGAGACCAACAAAACTTCTTGTAACACCAATGATGAACTGAAGGCAAAAATTATGGCAACTTTCATCAACTTAAACAAGGAGACCGTCGAGAAGAGTTGCAGGAGATCCCAAAGTCATATGGAGGCCATGGTTGAAGCCAATGGGAATTTTATTGAATAAATTTACTCTTTAGTATTTCAAGATGTGTTATTTTGGTAAATATATCTGTTAAAATGAGATGTCAGTGTTATTTTCATTTTTGCATAATTTAGGTGACAATTTATCCATCGCACACTGTAACACCCCAAAAAAAAAAATTTTTTTTATTCACTTATCCATTATTGTGATCAAAGACCTACATGGCTGGGGAAAGAAACTGGAATCATAAATGATAGTTTATTTAAAATTGAGGTTTTAAAATTTGGCATTATGGCATATGTGCATAAAAAAAATTTAAAAAAATGAATAAATAAATGTATGATTTGCAGATACCATTCTATAAACAATAATTGCAACCATTTATATACATTTATATATTTATTTTATATATATATATATATATAATATTATACATTTATATATTAACAATGGTTGAAATTTTAAGTCAGTTTTACAGCATTGCATATAACTTGTAAGATATGTAGATAATATATTGACTGTCTATAACAAAGAAAGCTTCAGTGAGTGCAATCAAGCATGACAAGCAGCAGGTCTCATCAGCAGGCAGGTTAGGTTTAAGGCTCCAAGTTATAGACATACAACTGTCCCATGAGACAATAGAATAGTGGATTAAAACATTGGTTTGTGATTTTGGCAACATTTCAGTCCCAGTGTGTACTTGGACTCGGTGGTAACAGTACTAAAATGAGAACTAGAGGACATATCCCTAGACCATAAGTGGAATAAGAAAAATCTAGCTCCAAAGAAATTCCTTATAGGTTACTCAGAACAATATACACCTGATGAAGGCAAGAGAGCACAATAGCTGAAATGTTGTGATAACACTATTCCACATGTAAATATATTATTGCACAAATGTTATACTTTTGACTAATGTGCTTTTTACATTTTAATATTTTTTCATTATTCAGACAATATAAAATTTACATCCTTGTTACTACAAGGATGTAAATTTTATACATTTTATTTTTAGACTGAAATATTTTTTAAGTGAAGAACATTTTTTTTTAAAGTGAAAGATATTTCTTTTAAAGTGAGAGATATTTTTTTGGGAGTGGGTGGGGTTTATTGGGGAAACAGAGCTTAGAAAATTTAATTTTCACAGGCAAGAGAACTTGATGAAAGCAGCAAGCAAGAAGATTGCTTGCTGCTTGATAAGTTCAAGCAAATGAGTGAAAGAAAAAGTAGAAAAAACCAAGACGAGAGTAAAGGATCAAGTATTGCTGAGAGCATAAAGGAAACCGTGGAGAACCATAATCATCCATATTCTGGAGGAACATAACACATAAAGAGCGAGGTAGAAAGAGAGAGTAGAATGATTAAGAAGCTTGTCTTCATGTCATGGGCCTGTTGGTCATTAAGTATTTCTTTGAAATATTCATGTACTGAATGACCTTTTGTTTCAGATGATTCCTACTAAACAAAACAGAAATATTTATAATTAACACAAAGAAAAAAAAGTCAAGAAAACTAATTAAAATAATCAAATAAACACTTGAAATGATGATAAAAGTGAATATTCCAAGTTGATGCTTCATTTTTGCCAGTTCAATGCTCAATGCCTTCTTTACAATATGAGGATGTGCCAAATATTTAACATTTTATTAAAATCACTCAAGTTCACTCAAGCATTATGATTAGATGAGCCAAAATGGAATTTCTTTTCAGAATTGAACAATTGCATTTAAAAATAAAATAAAAATTAAAAATATTATAATGAACTTGATCCACTCAATAACTGCAAATTATAAAATCAGACAAAAATATCTATATATCTATATATAAAATGTAATTTTTGCCTGATTTTATAAATAATATTATTTATTAATAATTATTATTTAATAATAAATACATTAACCTCTTTTTGGATCAGTTTTAATATTTTATATTACTAGGATCCACTTGAATTATATACCAATGGATTTGTTACCTTTACTATATATATTAAATAAAACTAATTTTTAAATGGATTTTTTCATCCAATATTATTTCTTATAAACATTATTTTTAGTGGGTACACATATTTGAGTTGCTATAGTGTATTTTATATTCTTAAACAATGGTGAAATTAATAAATGGCATAGATTGAGAAATCATACTAAAATCAATCAAGAATTTCCTATATGACTGTGTGTGTGTGAAAATTCAGATATAAATAAAATATATCTGTGAAAAGAAAAAAAATCCTTTGCCAATGTTATATATATATATATATATATATATATATATATATATATATATATATATATATATATATATATTCGTATAACATTGCCATCATCTCAATTGCTATGCTAAATATTCTGTGTTGATCAACTTTGTGAGATCACCACTATTTATTGTAATATCAGCTTGCTGCAGTCATCCACTATTTACATTGTTTAGATTATCGTCCACATCTTTGTTGCCATATTTATCACAATGTTTTGGCCATTGTATGCTCCAGCCTTCTTCAGGTGGTTGGAATGTTGAACTGAACCCTTTATTTCGGTCACTGGAGTAGACTGTTCTAGTTCCACATGCCATGTCTAATGGATGTCAGTTATCAGTTATCTCCTGTTAATTCCCCTTTCCAAGTTCTCCACCGCATAAACCAGGTATTGAACTCACACTCTTTGGGTCCTGTCGTTGGATCTAACTAATGCCTTTTATTCTCTGTGCCATGTGTCCTTGAGGAAATGTTGTGATAAATATGGCAACAAAGATGAGAATGATAGTCCAAACAACGTAAATAGTGTACATAATACCTCACCTCAGAAATATAGACAGATAATGCAGTCATCCAATTGAAAATTAAAGGTGAGTACAAGAGATAAACTTTATAAGCACATAGATGAAACATACAGAATTGGTTCTAAGCTATTTGAAACTATAGCATGCAGCATGCTACCTGGCCCGTATTCATCTGCCTAGTGCCACTTTATCACAGGAATGAATGGTGGTTGTGTCCATCTGCTGTTGTATGTGGTTTCACAGCTACTTTCACTTTGGAATCTTCTTTTTACCAGGACACTTCATTAGTCTGAACAGTTGGTTTGGGATAAGGCCAGAAACAAGGGTCTTACTATAG